CCCTCTTGAAGGGGAAAAATAATCACTTTGATTTCCATTAATGAGCAGGCTGAGGGAGGCTCTTTTAGTGAAACCCATGAGTAATGATATTGAAGGAGCTGAGAATCCAAAAAGGTTGAGGATCTTCTCAAGATAGGACCAGGAGACTCTATCAAATGCCTTGTTCATGTCGAGCTTAATCACCATGTTCCCACCTCTTTTTCCTTTGTCAATACCATTAATGATTTCTTTTGCGAGAAGAATGTGATGTTTTATTTCTTTTCCTTTTTGAAAAGCGCCTTGCTCCCTTGATATAATTCTTGGCAAGAGAGTTGAGAGTCTATTTGCAAGGATTTTTGTAATAATCTTGCTAGGAAAAGTAGATAAGGAGATTGGTCTGAAGTTTTTCCAAGAAGCTGCGTTATCCACCTTTGGTATCAAAGAGATCATGGTTTTGCACATAGACTTGGGGGGAGGGATTCCCAGGAAATATTCCTGACAGCTTGAAACAACATCCTCTTTAACTATTTCCCAGCAAGTCTGAAAGAAAAGGCCATTGAAGCCATCCCATCCTGCACAACTGTTGGGATTAAGGCTGAAGATTGCCTCCTTTACCTCTTCTTCATTTGGAAGCCTTGTCAACAGGATGTTATCATCATCTGTAATGACAGTAGGGATGGAGTGGAGGAGGTCAGAATCATGAATAATTGACTCCTCATAGAATGCCTGTTTGAAAAAGGAAAGTCCATCTTCCATAATCTCCTTCTGAGTATTTAGGATGTTGTCTTCTTCCTTCATAATGTGATGTATAATGAGTTTCTTTCGTTTTCCTTTTACAAAGTTATGAAAGAAACTGGTGTTGGCCTCTCCCTATTTGATCCAATTGATGTTTGCTTTTTGTCTCCAGAATGAGTCTATGTTCTTCACGCATCTATTATGCTTTGCTTTCATTAAATTAAGTGAGGAAAGATTATCTGGGGAAGGGTCTGATGCAAAAAGAGTTTCTGCTTCAAGGAGGTCCTTTTCACTTGATTCAACTGCCTTAAATATGTTACCATGCTTGTTGTAGCTCCATTCTTTAAGGTCTTTGCTGAGCTCCACCAGCTTGATCATAAGACCCCTCATACCTCTACCATGGAAGGTGTTTTCCCAGTTGCTTCTGACTCTATTGAGAAGGTCATTGTCTTCAACCCAAAAGTTCAAGAACCTGAACTGTTTATGAATAGAGTGATTAGGGGCAAGGGTTTTGAACAGGAGAGGACAATGGTCGGATTCCCCTCTAGGAAGGTGGGCCAACGAATGAAGGGTGAAGAAGTTGTCAAAGCTGTCATTAAATAAAATCTTATCTAGCTGTCTCCAGACACGTCCATTGGATCTAATCCCTGTCCAAGTGA